TAACTTTTCGATGTGGGACAAACAAAAAAACATATTTTCCTACAAAATTCCTATAATTTTTCTACAAACAATATTTCGTAGGAAATCCGTAGGACAATTTTCTACGAAATTTCCACCAATGTAACAGTCAATTGGATGTTATTGGTTGGATATATTCTACCACTTTTTGAGATTTTCTTTTCGTAGGAAATTTCTTATTTATTTCCTACCACTTTTATTTTTCGTCATAAAAAATTGGTGAAAAATATTCCTACCAAATACATTCGTAGGAATTTTCGTAGGAATTTCTTGTAGTGTTATAAGACTCTGAAAGGGTCCGGTTGGAGGAAAGAAAGCTCTCGTATCCACAGCAAATGATTTGCTCCATGACAAGTCTGCTTCAGTATCAATTTTGTTGGTCACCCAAATCTCCACCTCTGATGAACCAATGCTCTTAATTAGCAGCGAAAAAGTTCTTCTTCTCGAACAACTAATAGAGCCATATAGTCTCTACAATTAGGAGATACGGGAAGACTAAAACGTCTAAATCTCTCTCTTGTGAAATAGAGTAAGTAGTTGTATTTAAACTTAAACTTTCTTTTGAATGGACTTACCAACAAATCATCATCTTCTTTAGCAATGAGCTATATTATATCTCTTGAATTGTGCATCTTTGAGATCTTTCAAAGCAATTCTCAGGTTCACATCATCATCCGATCTAATTTTTTTTTTTTTTGGGATTTAAAACCAACTCAAAAGTATATAACATAAAGAAGAAAGTATTCATCAAATATCAAATCATTAAATATTCGAACGATATTGTCTACAAAACAAAAATGAAGAAAATAAAAAAGAGCTGGAAGAAACCACTTGCATATTCTTACTGACTAATTTTCACTCTTTTATTTTGCCTAGACCTTAGTGGATTGGAACTAAACTTGGAACGTAATTGAAAATAAATGGCCAATTATAAAATGATTTTGAATAATAACGGAATACGTTATATTGTGGAACAGGGGCTTCTGTGTAATACTTACCATCCTTTCCAATAACTTATACTCTGTAGCCACCACTTACCTTACAACACAAAGTCAATTTCTTCTCCTCGTCCATTAAAGGACTCGTGTCAACACAAACATCACCGCAGGGAGCATGGCGTAAGTCCACTGCAAAGGATTTGCTCCATGAAAACTTTGCTTCAGTATCAATTTACCCCTCAATCAATCTTCTTACTTATGCTTTTTGTGTTTTTCCTTTCATGTCTTCTTTGCTTTTCCTACGTGGATTCTTTTTATTAATTTTACTTTTTGTTTTTTTTTTAGTTTCTAATTTTTTTTTGGGGGACAAAAATCGAATTGGTTAGAATTTGAAAGCCTACGACCATGCTTATGTAGATAGACATATACCAAGCAGCAGCTATGCAGAATAAAGTCCAAGAGACAGTTAGTTATGAATGTTCTGCTGTAACTTTCATGTGTTGTTATGGAATTTTAAATTTGATTGCTGGACTTGTATAGTCTGTTTCTTTTATGTTCCATTCCAGAACATTTACAGAAAATCATTTTTGAAAATTTTACAGAAATTTGTTGCGTAACATACAAGTCACTGGAAACAAAGAAATAATAAAGAAACACCTTCTTGCTCACGCTTCCTTCCAAACCCTATTGCTGAAAAATAGAGATTGTGGTCGTCAATACATCTAGTTTGAAGACATGGTTGTCTCTGTTGATTTTCAGAATGATTCTTCTCTAAATGCCCAATGCTGCTTAACCATTTGCAACGTCCGTGAATGCTAACCAAACTCCGGTATTTCCACTTGCTGGCTCAATCAAAACACCAAGAACAAAACAAAAATCCAAGTTCATAAAGTCTGGTTTTGAAGAAGTGAAGTACAAGTTTTTGAAAAACAGAAGCTCGAAAGCAGAAACAAACAGAGCTGTGGACTTTAACGGAAACATTACTCGAACAAGATCTGGTTTAAAGCAGAGAGTCGTTGAAGCTAACTTCAGTGACATCTTTAGCCATTCGAGGAGTCTCTGAGACTGAGGCCATATTTCAAAACTCACTGCATAATTTGACAAAAGAGAAATTCCAAATAGTTTTTTCTCAATTTCCCCTGATTTTCACTTTCTTGGATCATTAATAAAACAGCATCCAAAAAAAAAAACGGAGGAGGAAAAGAAACGTATGTATAGTTCAATTTTGTTTTCTTGACTATCAAATCATTATCCTAGACTGGATCCTGAGTTCTTCTCACGCTTTGAAAATCTCCGATGCTGCTTGAAAGCTTGCTCTCTGTTTTTTTTTTAAAAAATCTTTTGTTAAATCTGAGCATACCAAGAACCTTCATCTTATAGTTTCCTTTGAGATAGTATTCTGAGAAGATTCCTCCAGACTGATCCTAACCATAACCCCCACTAGTAGTTGACTACAAATGCATTCAGTTAGAATTCCAAGCATCTGCTTCCTTTATAGGATTTTCAAGATGAGTCTTGTTGTAACATGTTAATTGCACAAAACTTTTAACCTTGTTGAAGTGAATAAGCCCTTGAATCAGTTCGTGCATTCTCTGCGTTTGTTTCTTTTAGATTCTCCTTTAGCTCGCACTTAATTTCAGAAACCTAGAACTTCCCTTTTAATTAACTTACCAACAACCCTATCAATCTTTTTTAACAAAGAGCTTTATTATATCTCTTTACATGTGCATCTTTGAGCTAACAAAAACTAATTCACTTTATAATCAAAGCAATTCTCAGGTTCATATCATCATCAGATCAAACTTTTTTTTTGGAGTTAAAAGAAAATTAAAACTATCTATAACCCAAAGAAGAAAAGATTCATAAATAACAAATCATTAAATAATTCAAACGACCTCGTCTACAAAACAAAAACGAAGAAAAAGAAAAATATCTGCAAGAACTCACTTGCTTATTCTTAGTTATCGCTCTTTTCCTTTGCCTCTTAACTTATTGGATTGGAACCAAACTTGGAACATAATCAAAAATCAATGGGCAACACAAATATGAAAGTAGTTTGTTTTTATATTCTTGAACAGGGGTTTCTGTGTAAAACTCACCATCCTTTCCAAAAACGTATACTTTGTTGCCACCACGAAAACTACAACACAAAGCCACTTTCTTCTCCTCGTCGATTAAAAGACTCGTGTCAACAGAAATATAACTGCTGGGATTTGCTCCATGAAAACTCTGCTTCAGTATCAATTTTTTTGGTCACCCAAATCTCCACCTCTGGATAATAATGGTGCTTACTCAACACTGAAAGCTCTTCTTCCCTAACAACTGATAGCTTCAGACAACCACGATGAAGACTCAGAGGTGATGGAATATTCAGACTTCTAAAACTCTCACTTGTAAAATCAAAACTGAGTAAGAACATGTGGTTTATGTCATCACCAGCAAGCCAGTAAGTATTCCCCTTCAAAGACACACCAGGGCATGTTATTTTGAAGCTAACGTTGGGAGCATTAAGAACTCTCCATGAGTCAGAGGTAAAGTAATAGATATCAAACCCAAAATCTCGGTCGTTTGTTTCGTAACATACCCAATGCCTCAAGATTTTGTAACTACGGCAAGTTGTTTTGTTTGTGTATCCTAGAGCAAACGTAGAGTGTATCATGTCACCAATTTCGAGTTTGATCCACCTGGTTTCCCCTAAACACGGATTAAAAACCATGGGTTTATTGTCCAAGGTGGTGCACAACAACAAACCGTCACAGTGAAAAACTTCAAGTAAATCAACTTGTTCTGAATTAGAATGAGAATCTTTTAGGTCAAGTGCGCCTTTGAACTTTATAGACGGAGGAACGTTATCGAGATCGATGTTCAGTGAACAAATCTTATTTTCCTTAAGCATGAGAACACAAGACTGCTTTGGAGCTTTACCAAAGTGTTTCTTTCTGAATCTTCCATCTTTGAATAGAGCGTTTTAACCTTTGCAAGTAGATCGTAATCGTTTCAGAAGTGGCTAGAACCCTAGAGAGTATTTCCTCTACCAAATCCGCTGGAAAATCATACGTCATCATTTGTTTCTCTCTTTGTGATCTGATCTCCCAAGGAACAAGAAAGCTACTCGATAGGGCTCTCTTAAGAAAAGATTAGGGTTTGTTTTCACGTAATTGCCCTCAAACTATTACTTATGTACTAAATCTAATCAAACTTACAACAAAAACTCAAAGATATTACGACAAACAAATAAAAACAAAATAAACTCAAAGAAATTATTTTTTTTTTTGGAAAGCTTATATAATATATATATTTTATATTACAGGTTTATGGATTTTTGGTATTTTAATTACTTTGACATCTTTGGATACTTTTGGATACTAACCAAAAAACTCCAAAGTTATAAACAATCAATGCAAAGTTATTAAAAATCAATGCCAATATAATGGAAAATCAACCGACAAAACATCATCAGATTTTCGATTGATAAATCATCTGGTAGTATTACAAAACAGTCAAACGTTGTCAAATTCCTCATTCACGCTTACTTTCCCCTGGTTTAAGAATTCTATATGAATAAACAAAAACCAGAGTAAACAAAAGGGTCCCAAAATAAAATTACAATTACAGAGTAAACGTACAAAATCACACACAATCTGAAAAACCTCATGAAAGTTAATGATTTGATATTACCGGAATCGATCAATCGGTTTTGTTCCTGGTATTTAAGGGATATCTTGTAGTATATAGGGATCGAGAAAGATGGTGAGAAAGATGGTGTTGGAAACACATTTATAGGATCTTAGGTTCCTGATAGTACATAACTTTCCTGCTTCTCCTAAAACCAGAAACATAGTTGCAGCAAGACAAGCAGAGATTGCACTAACAGTAGATAATATATACAGATTCTATTGCAATCACATACGATGGATCTGACTACTCATCAATGATTAAAGATTTGAAATCTCGTTTTAACTAATTTCTAGTTTTAAATTTCTGAGCTTCTTCCTAATATAATCGGAACCGACTTGCGTCAACACAAATGCAGCAGATACATAGCACAAGCAAAACCCTTCTCAATAAACAAAGACAATTCATTTCTAAAAATCTTCAAAGAATAACAAAGAAGGTAACACAAGAGATTGTAAAAACTGAGACTTTTATTTAAAACTGAGACTTTAGACTCATTTGTTTCGTCTTCTACAATCTACAATCCAGAAACCAAGCAAGCAGGCACCACGAACTCAACAACAATGGTGGAATCGAGATAATCACGAACCTTTTCTTTCTGCGAATTCACCAACTCAGTCTGAGAATCCACAGATTCCAATTCAGCTAGATCCTTAAAATACGCAATCGATGCAATCGAGAAACCTTTCGCTCTCGCCGGAGAGAAGTTTTCCCCAACAGTGATCTGACCAATCCCTGGAAACTTCTCGTCAAGCCCCTTGATCAAATCCAGAATCTCCGATTTCGCCTCGTCGGAGAGATTCTCTTTAACTTTGAGGAAAGTGATTTTGGCGACGGAGCCAGGAGGCGGAGCTAGGGTTCCGGGGACTTGATGTGCGATCCAATCAACAGCCATGACGTCATCGCAGATCGGTAACACAAATTCCTTGACGACGCGGACGTGATCGGGATGCGCGGCGTAGTCGGCGAGATCTTCCTTGGATCCGTAACGGCTGTGGAGGACGTGAGTGAAGGCGGAGACGGAGGATCTGACACGGTGGAGAGGAGCGGCGGAGATGTGAAGAACCCGCGGGAGGGAGACGAGATTGTTGAGGCCGTTCATCATTGAGCTGATTTTGGAGGAGTCTGTGTCTTCTTTGACTTTGAAAAGGACGATGTGTTCGACGATCTGATTCTGAGGAGGCGAAGAAGAAGACATTGCGACGGCGGAGAAGAGACGGCGTGGTGAGGAGGAGGAGAGAGGGATACGGCGGAGATGAATTGGGGGCTGTTTGGTTGATGAGATAGCGAGAGAAAACGGCGAGGAAAATAGCGGTCGAGCTCTAACGCAAATCATCTCTTATCGTTTTGATTTTTTTCGGCGTTTTGTGGAGTGAAACTCTCTTGAGGGAGAGCGACTGTGAGTTTAAAACAGTTTACTGAACTTGGTGATGTTTTAGACGTGTCAAATTTTTATTGGTAGAAAGTTGAAAAGTTGGTGGAGATTATTTTAAGAGATCAAGAAAATAAAAGTTCATGTCACGTTAAAAGCATTTGATGTCTAACAACAACACAGTTAGTGATTATTTTATCATAATTAATTGTAATGGATAAACCAAAAATCTTAAACTAATCCTATGTAAAACCTTAGCAATTTTTTTCTTAATTCGTACAACAAAATGAAAAAAATATGTTTGTTCCAAAAATAAACTACCGATTTTTTTTATGTTGTTGACTTAATAACACATTTCTTTTCATATCTTATTTTTCACTAATTTATATCATAAAGATCTATTTTAAATATAAGTTGAGTATATATATTCTGTCACATAAATTACTGAAGCTTGGGTTCAAAAAGATGCTATAACAGCCCAAGCCATAATAGAGACACCTAGAGTGGAGAAGGCAACAGAGTATTTCCAACCTGAAGGAATAGAGCAGACAGAGCAATGGACAACGATGGCACCATCAAAAGTGGGTCGAAACCCTTCTAAGGCAAAAGCAAATGAAGAGAACTCTTTCCAAGTAATTACATCTTTTTTTTTTGTAGCAACTCCAAGTAACTACATCTAAATACCATGTATTGAGTGAATTGGTTGAAAAATGTGAGATTGCAGAATTGGAAGAGACCACTGAAAACAGTGAAACAGAGAGAGTTGAACTAGAAACCACTCAATCCAGTGCTAGCTCTGAGACAGTGATTTTACCTCAATGAGAGAATCAACCAGAAGTTGTAGATGGAGGAATAGTGAGACAATCACTCTCTCGACACTCAAAGAACAAACAAAAATTCTTGTCAGAGACTTTGATCGCAGCAGCTAAGGATCTTCCAGGCACTGCAGTCAAAAAAGTTGCTCGCAAAAACACATAAATGTTGAGCTTCTTCTGAAATGTGCGCGGATTTAACAAATCAATAAAACATTATGCGATAAGAAGATAGTTGGTGGAGTCAGATATGGAGTTTGGTTGTTTGTTGGAGACTAGAGTCAAAGAAACTAAAGTCAAAAGAATAGTTACTTCAGTGTTCAAAGACTGGTCTTTTATGGCTAACTATGAGTACAATAATTTGGGTCGAATATGGGTGCTTTGGAGGCCATCGGTTCGCTTAACGCTGGTCTTCAAAAATAACCAAATGATAACCTGCTCGGTGAAAATGGAAGGAGCAGAGGAAGAATTTTTTTGCAGTTTTGGTTATGCATTAAACACTGCAGAGGAAAGGAAAGACCTGTGAGAAGGCATTTTGATTCACCAATGTTCTCAAACAAGCCTTGGATGATAATGGGAGATTTTAATGAAATTTTAGAGAGTGATGAACACTCAAATCACTGTGTCACACCAGTTATACCCCCCGGGAATGCAGGATTTTCAGGAGACTGTTAGTCATTGTTCGCTGTCAGACTTGGGGTACCATGGTCCATTATTTACATGGACAAACAAGCCTTGGATGATAATGAGGGATTTTAATGAAATTTTAGAGAGTGAGGAATACTCAAATCACTTTCTCACACCAGTTATACCACCGGGAATGCAGGATTTTCAAGAGACTGTTAGTCATTGTTCGCTGTCAGACTTGGGGTACCATGGTCCATTATTTACATGGACAAACAAGAGGGAAGAATGAGTAATATTTAAAAAGCTGGACAGAGTTCTCATGAATGATGTTTGGCTGCATAGATACTCTCAAGCTTATTGTGTGTTTGAGGCTAGAGGATGGTCTGACCATCTTAGATATTGAATTCTTCTTGATGTGGACGATGTTGCAAAGAAAATCAAATGCATTTTTAAGTTTGTGAATGCTATTGGAAAAATGCCAGAATTTTTGCCAATGGTTGGAGAATATTGGTCACGCACCGAGAATTTATTTTGCTCTACTTCAGATTTATTTCGGTTCTAAAAAAAGTTGAAGGCATTAAAGCCTATTATTCAAAAGTTAGACAATGAGAAGTTCAGAGATTTGCACAGTAAAGCAAAACTGCCTTATCAAAGTCTGTGTGAAAAGCAGTAAGAGAATTACTGCAGCCGTCTTCGGAGAAGATCAAAGATGAGACAGATGCATTCGAAAAGTGGCAAGCTGTTGCGAGTTTAGAGGAGGAGTTTACCAAGCAGAGGTCTAAGTTATACTGGTTGCAGGTGGGAGACCAGAAATCCAGAATAACAAGACTTTTTATACTGTAGTGAAGATCAGGGAAATAAAAAACTCTATCCAGGAAATCTAATGCTCTAAAAAACAAATTTAGTTATACCTACATGTAACAATTCAAGATTAAAAAAAAAACTGTGTTATACTTACCTGACTCATAATCACTGTCAAACCAGCAAAACACCAAATTTAGATATATATATATATATATCCACTTTACATCAAATACTCAACATAAACAAGCAATTATACAAAAACGTAAAACTCTATATTTTCTCATTTCTCCATCCTAACGATCTAATATATTAAAAAAAACGGCATTATCTTAAAATTCAATTTAATGAAAAACTCTAATTAGCCAAAATTCTTGTATTCCATAAAATTTAATTTTAAATAAATTAAAAAATATTCTACATTAGTTTCAATAAATAAATTTTACATGAAACAAAAGAAAAAATTATGCAACAAAAACTTTAAAATGTTAATATTTTTAAACTAAATATTATAATATAAATACACAAACATACACTAATATGTATCTATTAAAAAATAAAAACAAATCAAAATTACATAACTGAATATAAACAATATATCGAAGAAAATGTTCACGTGAAAATGGACAATAGCGAAAAAGGGAATAGAACAATAAATTAAATAAAAAAACTAAAAAAAAATGGGATACAAGCAAGATAAAGAGGTCTAGGGATATACCTTTATGGACATATTGATGTGTGAGATGAGGAAAAAAAAGTAGGAAAATGATGGAAAGATGATGTAATCTGGTTTTTTTAAATATATTATGTTTAGATGAGAATAGAAAAAATTGAAGTGACATGAAAGTAAGATATACTGGATTGTTACTGTTGATAATGATCCATCCAAGGAGGAAAAAGATAAGTCGTAAGGATATATAAAACCTCATAATCTTCTGTTGGTGAAATGTAGCAACCGAAAAAAGAGAAAAAATATTCATAGAGTTAATGTTTATTTCACTAAGTTTGCATACACAAATTATGTTCAAACTTATAATTACGACTTCAATCAGAATAAAAATTCAAAAGTAAACAAAACTTATTGCATTATACTTTTAAATTCGTATTATAAGATGATAAAATCAGTAACTAACAGTTTTTATAGAAAAATAATATATAATTAAATAAAAACAACCAGTATTATAACAACTAAAAAAAATAACTAATAGAAAGCATATAGAACATATAATTTTATATAAAGTTAAATTTTATAAATATAATCTACTCGTAGCGTGGATCAAATTTTAGTTTATTCACTGACTTATTCAATAGAACATTTCTAAATAATCTTATTTCGTATTTATTTTAAAGATAAACTACTGATTTTATCTCGTTGACTTGGCCCTACATATCTTTCTTTTTTTTAAGCATGGCCTCACATTTCCTTTTCATATTTAAGTTTTATTTTTCCCTGATTTAACAGAACATCTATTTTTAGTAGGTGTTTAGTATATATATATCATGAGTATTGATAAAGAAAATGTATATAGTTACTGCGAGACAAAGAAAAACAAGACTTTTTGTGTAGTACTTAAACAAGTTTTTCTTAATTTTGGAATTATGAAGTCTGCTACTTTATTCATAATTTTAGGTGTTTTCATGTTCCTCGTTTTGAACCATGTTAAAGGTGATCTATATTATTCTTCCTTTTGATTTGATTCTATTTTATTATGATAACATTGATTATCCGTGTATAACAAAAAAAAAATTGTGTTGAACAATAAAACTACAAATTAAACTTTACCAAATTTGCATTATCAACTGTTCAGTTGAATTCTTTTTACACTATTAATTGTTTATTTTTGTGTGTGTGGTTAATTACTTAATTCTTTGAAAATTGTAGAGGTGAATGCACAAAAACCTGTGTGCAGAGTTTTTTCATGGGGTGCTGGCAAATGTCCCGCTAATGGAAGCAAGATGTGTCAAGACAAAATGACTCCATATTATTACAAACAAACTGGTAAAAAGTTTGTTCGTTGTGACTGCACTAACTTCTTTTGGAGGAGCAAAGAGCATCATGGCTGCTACTGTTATTTTAGTCTTCCTTGCGAAAACTCATAGACCAATATTTATTTATTTGAGTAGTAAATAAAGGATAAGGAAATGGTTGTTTTTAATTATGTTTATATGACTGAGTTTATATATGATCAGTCTGTTTTAAATTTTCCAAATTTAATTACTTTATTATTCGAGTGAAAAAACAAAATATTTATGATTTTATATTGAAATAGTTGTTCGCTTAATTATCTCTATCAATTGTTTACTTGTTCATTAATCTAAGTTATAATAGACGATACTAATCACATCTTATATAGCAAGCACATCAACTAAAGTTAAGTAAAATATTAAAGATCTCGGCAACATCTATGTTAAAAAGGAGAAATATATTGTTGTTATCAATTGTTGAAAAGGAGAAACCTAATGTTTGTTTACATTACAAGTATTCATATAAATGTTAGCATGTTTGAGGAGGAAAAAATACCAATAATCTCACTATGTGTATCTCATATGCAAGAGAGAAAATAATTGATATCAATTCTTTGTAAGAGCGCTTTGGACTAGAATTTTCTCTTTTAATTATTACATTATATCGAGTATATATATATATACATGATTCAATATTTTATTGTGATAAATTATTTTTTAAAATAAGGAGCAAATGGAACAATGGTTGTCACTTGCCACTTCTCTGCTACTATCTCATCATTGTAGAGTTCGATTTGTTGTGGTCTAGTTGACAGAAAAA